AGCTGAAATGGATGTGGAGCTCATCAGTGGAAGCCTTGCATCAGGGATCTCAGAGCCCATGATGGAGATACTGCTTGTGTCAATGCACAAAGAGACTGTGATCAGCCCTCTAAGTGGGGCCCCACCTTTGGGCAAGAACACAGACTCAATGAAGCACCATCAGAGATGGCAAAGCACTTTTAGAGCTTCCCTCACCAGTGGCTAGTATGACTTTCTCCCAGTGTCCTTACTCAGGGCTTCCTGTGGCTTTGACCGGTCTCGGTAGCTGGTGTTTGCCAGGCATGAGTTGGGGAGGCTCACTCTTGCTCTCCCAGTATCCTGAGATGCTCTGTTCCCTTGGCAGGGTCAGGGGAGAGAAACCTTTCTCATGGCCTCAGTGGATGTCGGCCTTGGAAAATGCTCCAAAGAGGGTTTAGTCCAGCTCTTCTCATTTGGAGAAGCTGAGTCCCAGTGAAGGGAAATACCCTCCTGTGAGAACCCCACAATGATGACTCAACACATCTCTGAGCCCCCAGGGCTTGCATTATTGCTCTGAAGGTATCTGAAGAAGAACACAGAGTGAGAAGGGTACCCTACTGCCCACAACACACAGAGATATCTGTCCAGGGAACGAAGGAAAAAACTAGCAGTGAATAAGCCATCCATTCTTGCCTGAGCCATTTTCCCACATCAGGAGCAGACTGTGCTGGAAAATTTAAGTTTCTCCTTTCATGTTGCCTTTCACTGCTCTCTGGACAGAATGCTTTTCTCTCCCCCCTTTTCTTTGGCCGGCCCCTCACCAAGCCTGTAGAAAAAGAATCTTTTAAGAACATATATATCTATCCATCGATATACATTCAGGCCCTGACAGTGACACGAAACGGTAGTGCCTTTTAATTACCCAGGAAGTGACAAGGTCAAGAGTGTCTGAGAGCTGTCTTGTAGTCCTGCCATTGATTTCTCACCATTGTCTCTGCTTCACAAGTGAAAGTGGGGCCACGGCTCCCGGGTTTTTCCACTATTTGGACTTCTTCCTTTCTTCTTCCTTCCTTTCTTTTCCTTTTAATTTGAAAAGAAACTTCTGGCATTTGGGGTATTAATTGGAAATTTATAAAAGCAGGATGTGTTTCAGGTTGGCTGACCAGTCATAATTGCTGCCTGGGCACCTGGAGAGAAGGTCAAGTTCTTGCAAAGACACCCCCTCCCCCACACCCCTGGGCTCTGGCTACTCTCGTCCACTTTCTCCCTATTATTTTTGGACTTTCCAGGAGAAAATGACATGACAGATTTTTAACGTCCTTGAGTAGTCACTGGCTCTATTTATAATGGACACATAGTTTGTGTCCTTAGTTCCTGACGCAGAGTTTTGGGGCAGATAGTGGTATTTTTAAAGGAGGGGAGTTGACCACTGAACCACGGTCACTGAGAAATTACATTAGGATACAAAGACAGAATCAAAGGTGTTCCTGGACACTTCAGATTAAAGTTTTAGAAATTCCTATGACATTTTGTTGAGTTGTGCTTTGAGACGGAGAAGCCAGAGCCTTCTTTAGAGAAATCAGAGAAATTGGTTCACAGAGGCTTACTTGAGTATTTTTTTCTTCCGTAAAAACAGTGAAATATGATTACATGACCAGAGTAGAGAAATATATTGACATCTACTTCTAAACGCTAGTAAAAATTCATCTGGCTTTAGGTTTGGGGGCAAATCAAAATATATCTGGTCCTTTGTCATCTGTAAATATTGACTGCACAGCACTTAAAACCTATCTTGAATTAAATATTCCCAGTACCTCTCTCTGAGATCAGAAATAGACTGTGGATAGATAGACAAGACAAAGAAGCTGTAGAATAAAGGTGAAACAAGTAAATATATGAGCATGATATAGACACCCAGGTGTGAGGATGTTTCAACTCCAAGAAAGTTGCTACCTATCCATTCGACAGTTCATGCATTTTCCAGCCATCCCCCCACCTTATGTCCATGAATCCATTCACCTATCAATTCACCAATATGCCATCTTGTTCCTCCATATATTACATGGCAGGTGAGTGTCATAACAAGGAGGTTTAGAAATATGTTGGGGGCTCAGATGAAGGGGAAGACCTTTCTAGCTGGAGTTTTTAGAGGTCTCATGCAGAGTTGACATTTGAGCTGAGTTTTGGAGGATGGATAGCATGTGAGGAAGAAGGGATGATGTGGGGAAGACAGTATGAGCAAAGACTCAGAGGCAGGAAAGTCCTGTGTTTGTCTGGAATGCATTGAACAGTCAAGAGAGGAGGTCAAATAAGAAAGAAGACTGAAGAAACATTAACTTTGGGGATCAAAGCAGTTAAGGCAAGTAGCCAACAGTGTTTTGGAGGATCTTGGAACCAGTCATTTTTACAGTAGAGAGAGCACCAAATGAGAAGGAGGTAGAGGAGCAGGGAGGGGTGGGGAGCCGGGACAATGACTAGCACATTTTGTTGTGGGAAAGGGTGTGTGAATAAAACATGGAAAAGCAAGAGGAAACTCTGTGTCTTGTATGAAGTTTTACAAGTGCCTTACATTCAGTCTCCAAGAGTTCTCCAAGTAACTCTTTATAAAACTTGGAAAAGTCAAGGAGACTGAGTTGGTAAGAGACTCATTAAGGAGTGGGAGGTAGGAGGGTGTGAAAGGAATTTCAGTGTTTTTGTGTGTGTGAGACAAGAGCCTTTCCACCTTCCTGCACCTGGCCCTCTTATGCTATTTTTCTGGAATTGCAGACTTGGAACTTGGGTGGGCGGAGTCCAATGCTGTGCCCTGAGCCAGATGGTTTTCCAGCCTGGGAAGCACCGTCTGGACTGAGGGCTGGAGGAGGAGTAGGGCTGGACCTGGGCTGGAATCATGTGTCTTTATTCCTCATTAGATGCATGAAGCAGGAGAACTGCACAAACTCTTTAAAAATTGGTGTCATTAAAAGGTTTCTAGTAAGGCTTAGTTTCAAGTTTCAATGACAGGAAAAAAAGAAACTAGCCCCAAACATTGTCTCCCATATATGCTGGTTCTTTCACAGGTCATCTTATTTTATCCCTGAGATAGCCTACGGAGGTAGGAATTATTTCCCTTCTTTTGCAAATAGGATAATTGAGCCCAGAGAATTTGAGCAACTTTCCCACAATCGCACAGCTAGTTAAGCAGTGGCAGAACTAGATTCCAAACTGAACACTCTGGATGACCAGTTAGTCACTTAAATGATCTTTGTGCTTCAGTTATTGAAGAACTCTTGGAATTAGGGATTCCTGAAAGCTCTGGGCTATTAAATATTTAGCATAGATCTTTGTAATAGTGATATATTATATAATTATATTAAGTAGAAGAGGACTGGAAGATCATGATGAAGGGAGCTTTGGAGGAAAATATGAGTGGAAAAACTAGGAGGCAAAGTAATTTTGCAAGTTCCTTATATGAATTCTTTGCAAAAGAGAGGGTAGTAGGTGGAGAAAAGATGAGCCGATCTTCGGGGATGACTAAGCCAGACAGCCTCAGCCTCAGTGGTCCCTGGACTCCCAGACCATGCTCTGGCTTGGGGCGGGTGGGGAGGAGGGAACCTAGTAACCACAGTGTGCAGCAAAGCAAATACTGCCTTGTTGATTTTGCTAAAAGAAAAGAAGAGAAACACAGTTTACTCCCTGAGGTTCTTGTGCTGAGCCAGCTGTCCTGTAGCCCCATACTGGGCTGTGGTGCTCTGCTCCTAAGATACCCTGAGTGTCCTAGAGAAGAGAAATCCAGGCTGTTTCTTTCCTTATACACCGAGAAATACTCACATCTGAAGTACTCTGTTTTGATCAATATAAAAGCCTAGAACATTCCTGTCACCCTAGAAAGTTTGCTTGCAGTTTTTCCTAGTCAGTCCCTGCCTGCCCCAGCATTCATGATCTGACTTTTATCACCCTTGGTAAAGTTTCAACTCTTCTAGAATGTCATATAAATGCAATTGTACTGGGTGTTCTGCTCATGTTTGTCTTCTTTTATACAGCATATTTTAACATCCATCTTGCCTGTCTCGGTAGCTCATCCATTCTTATTACTAAGTAGGATTCTATTGCATGAAAACAATGCAGCTCGGTTATCTAGTCTCCTGTGACTGGAATCTGGGTTATTTCCAGTTTTGGCCTATAATGAAAAAAGTTGCTATAAACATTCTTATGAGACTGTAGATATATATTTCCATTTCTTTTTTGTTGTTGCTGTTTTGTATAGTATTTATTGATTCAGGAAACAAACACAAAATTCTGAATAAAATGACTTGGAAACTGCCTGCCTTGGCTTCTCATTTCTTCCCTCCCCTTCCCTCCCACCTGCTGTTGAGTACAGCTCTATTGCCCCCACCCCCAGCTAATAGTTACTTTCTGTTGTGCTTTCTTGTTGACTGGAAAATGGTTAATGTTAACTAAGAGGTATGACCTTTCCATGAGAAGGAAATGGCAATCCACTCCAGTATTCTTGCCTGGAGAATCCCAGGGACAGAGGAGCCTGGTGGGCTGCTGTCTATGGTGTCGCACAGAGTCGGACACGACTGAAGCGACTTTGCAGCAGCAAGGCAGGATGACCTTTCCATAGGGATTGAGCAAGGACCATCATAAGCACCTCACATGTCTCGGCAAAGAGGAAGTGATGGAGAGAGAAGGGAGTGTTTTGAATTTACATCCTAGTGACCTCTCCCATAGAGGGGCTGCTGCCTCTATAATCACTTCTTGCAACTGCCAAGCATATTTTACTGAGACAAATCTGTAAGGATCAACTTCTCCCAAACTCCCCATCTCACTACCCACATGATGCTGCTAGCTCCTTTGGTGACACCAGGACCAATTATTTAATGACTAAGAGATCATAGTGGCTGGGGCTGAGGTGCTTGAGTCAGGCTGGGGGTGGGATCACCTTGGTTAACAGGAAGTCAGAGATTTCCTCTTTTTTCCAAACAGAAGGCAGAGGGTACAAGGTTGGTTGAGCAGGCAGCTGGTACTAACACTGCTGGACTCAGGGTGAAGGCTGTTCTGTCATGAGGTTGGCTGTGTTCTTCTCTGGGGCCTTGCTGGGGCTACTAGCAGGTAAGGGGACAGGGGGAGGGGGCCCCTGGGAAGAAGCCTGCCCTGGGTTGCTAACCTGTCTTCCTCAAAGCCCGGGGACAGGGAATGATTATCCTCATAAAAAATCTGCCACTCTGCTGCCATCCTTCACAGTGACACCTATAGCTACAGAAAGCATGTCAAACCCTGGAACAACCGGCCACAGAACTACCAAGAGCCACAGAACCACCACTCAGAGACCCACCACCACCACCACGCATACAACTAACACCACAGGAACCACCAGCCGCGAGTCCCCAACAGCCACTCATAGTCCTGCTACCACCAGCAGTCATCAAAATACTACAGTTCATCCGACAAGCAACAATAAGGCCACGAGTCCAGGATCCTCCATCAGATCCCCCCACCCAGAACCACCATCCTCTCCAAGTCCTAGCCCAGGCTCATAGGAGGCAATATGAGACTACACTTGGAATAATGGTTCCCAACCCTGCATCCGGCTCCAAGCCCAGATTCAGATGCGAGTTCTGTATCCAACCCAGGGTGGAGGAAAGGTAAAGCTAAAAGAGAGTGGAGGACATAAAAGGAAGGGGCAGAGGCCTGATTCGATTCAGAAGGGGGTGAGGAAGAGCAGAGGAGGAGACAAATACAGACTGAAGACAAAGGGAACATGGAATGGCAGAGCTGTGTAGTCTTGTGACCTCTCATCTTTAACTTCTACAGGCCTGGGGTATCTCTGTACTGAACCCCAACAGAACCAAGGCCCAGGGGAGCTGTGAAGGTCCCCATTCCCACTTGCTCCTCTCATTCCCCTACGGACAGCTCAGCTTCGGATTCAAGCAGGTACTAACTCTCATCCCTCCCCCTCACCCTATCCCTACCAACCTCTTGCCATACTCCTTACTCTGTACCCGGATGCCACTCTGCCCTGCTGCCCTGAGTCTTCCCGGTCACCTCCCCAGGATCCACCGCAGAGCGCTGTCTACCTGAACTTTATGGCTGTGGAGTACAACGTGTCCTTCCCCCAGGCAGTGCGTGAGTAACCTTCCCTTTCTCACCACTTGCACTAGATATTTGGATTCCTGAAGGGACCCAGGCTAGTGGGTGGAGACGTGGATATGGAGCTTCCTCATTCTTTTAGAGTGGACATTCTCAGTTCAGAATTCATCCCTTCGAGATCTCCAAACCCCCCTGGGCCAGAGCTTCAGTTGCAGAAATGCAAGCATCATTGTTTCACCAGCTTTACACTTAGATCTGCTCTCCCTGAAGCTACAAGCTGCTCAGCTGTCCCCCTCAGGGGCCTTTGGACCAAGTAAGACCTATTTCTTCCCTCCTAGAATTTTCCCATTGCACTGAAAGCCCCCACCCAGGCTTATAATCTCCCTCCTTGCACCCCAAATCTCCTCCTCCTCTCAAGCTTGTCACAGCTAGGGTAACTGTCCCTCCTCTATAAGGCTCTCCCCAGGCTCCCTTTTGTTTCCTGCTCCGAGACATCTAGGTGAACGCCTCACCAATCTCTACTTCCCAACATCCCCTACATTCCTTCCTCCCACCTTGATCCCAACCATCACCGTGACACCCACTTGACCTGTCTTTCCACCAGGTTTCTTTTGTCCCAGTGATAAGTCCATTTTGCTGCCTCTCATCATCGTCCTGATCTTACTCGGCCTCCTCACCCTGGTGCGTGTTACCTTCTGCATCGGCCGAAGACGCCCACGCGCTTACCAGCCCCTCTTAGCATTTGTCTCAATACCCAGGGCACCAAGAGGTGCTCTCATTTCTTATCACTCAACTGACTCAAAAAGATAAAAGTTATCATCCTTCCCTGTCTTGATGAACAAAGAGATAATGCAATTGGAAGGGATGAGGGGAAAGATGTTTATTAAATATGATTGATTTCCCCATCTCCCATGGGAAAATAATAAAACTTGCTCAAATCTTTATCCTTGGTTTTCCTTGTCCTTCCTGCCAGGATTAAAAGCCGTTAAGTTTCTTGTCACACACCTTTTGGTACTTTCCACGGTTGAGTCTAAGGGTCCTAGAAACAGCACACCAAGAGCGATGAAAATGTCACTGTGTGATGCAATGCCCTCATGGATTCCTCCTTCAAAGTCTGGCACAGCTGCTGTCAAACTGGCCTTGCCTCCCTTGCTCCTCTTTTCCTGGGGTCTCTGGCTGCTCCAGTTACCTCTCCTCCAATCCAGGGGAGCCACCCATCCCAGCAGCCTGTCAAATGCCCTGCCCTACCCGCTGTGTCTGGGCTAGTGAACAGCCCAGATTAAACTCTGGCTGCATCTGGGATGCTCCTATCTCACCTGCAAAGGATTTTCATCAACCACAGGAGCAATGCGTACTCTGACTTCCATAAAACATCCTCTATGCTCCTGGGCAACCCACAGTCCCTGGTGGTGGTGGGTGGCACCCCTAGGACAGCCCCAGGGTGAATTCTAAAAAGGATCTCCCCGACCGCTCTAGCCTGAACGACCAGACCAGGGAGTGCTAAATTCCCCTTTACAGTTCATGGCCCTGTGAGCACCCCCAGGGCCAACATGGGGCCCTTCCAATCGTAGGAGCCTTGTAAGGTTACAGAAAGCAGCCGCTGAGACTGACAGACCCACCCCTTTTGCGGGGAGCACGTGGCTGAGATCCAGCAAACACACCACTGCCTCGGGACACCTCATAAGACCCTGCAGACTGTGGCACAGGAGTGGCTGAAGGGTGTGGTACTCCCAGCAGGTGCTCAGCCACCAGAGCGAGATGACCAGTGCCATCTCCACCAAGACTTGGTGTCCTGGCACTGGGTGGCAGAAGGCATCGCTCCTGCTGGGTAGTCTTGAGATGCCCCACGGTGAGATGCTAGAGCATCTCCATCTGGCACAAATCCTGGCTCAGCACATGGTCATGGGAGGCCGAGGAGGGGGCCTTGGCCCAGAGGTGGTGCCCTCGGGCCAGTGGTGTGAGAGGGAACCCCGGGTCCTTCGTTTCACAGAAGTGGCCAGGACTGGGCCCACATGGGAGCTAGGGACACTGCCATCTCCTGAAACTGGGCTCTCCTTCCCCATTGCCCCTTCCTCTGCTTCACTGTCCTGGCCCAGTGCACCCATTTGCCAAGGCCTCGGCGAACCTGAGGAGGGAGAAGCATGGGCCTTGCGCCTAAGGTGAGCAGCCTGGCTCAGACTGTCTCGCTCCCATTGGCGCCAGGTCCTCTGGAGACACCGAGAGTACAGGAGGTGGAAAGTTACACCGCCCACACCCAACGCCATTTTGGAGACTCACGCCCCTTCTCTCTCAACTTCGAACAATGTAGTAAGCTGGAAGAAGACAAGATGGCGCCGAGCAGGTGGACCGGGGAAAGGAAGCTGTTTCCATTTCTTTCAGGTAAATATCTATGAGTAGAATTGCTGGGTCGGGGGTGGTTGCAGTGGTGTGCTGGGGAGGGCAGATACTGATTGGCAAGAGGCAATTCTGCTCATCCCTTTCCAGTTCAGCTCTCAGTGATGTCACTAGCAGCTTGAAACTGGCTATGATCGAATTGATACCAGGGAAATTGGCAAATGCTACAAAGCAGGCTTGTTTTTCTTTTGGGGAGTCCGTTGTTAAACATTTACCAGTACACCACAGCATAGATATTTGTTTAACTTTTAAAGAAACTATTAGGTTTTCAAAGGGACTGTACCATTTAACATTCCTACCAGTGATGTATGAGAATTCCAATGGCTCCATGTCCTGTCCAACATCTGGTGCTGTCAGTTTTTAATTTCAGCCATTCTTTTAGGGGTAGTGGTGTCTCACTGTAGTTTTAATTTGCATTTTTCTGGTGACTGATGATGTTAAGGGCTTCCCCGGGTGCTTTTTGTGGTCCTTTGTATATTTTCTTTGGTACAGTGTCTGTTTAGTCTTTGGCCATTTAAAAACATTGGTTGTTTGTCTTTTTATTGTTGAGTAGCAAGAATTCTTTTATATCCTACATAGAAGCCCTATATCAGATACATGTTTTGTGAATATTTTCTTCTAGTTTACAGTTTGCCTGCTTATTTTCTTGATGGTATATATTTTTTAGCGAGTTGATAGTTTAAATTTTGATGACACACAATTGATCAATTTTTAATGTATGGTTTGTATTTTCTGTATTTGCTTTAAGATATTCTGCCTGGGGATTTCCCTCGAAGTCTAGTGGTTAAGACTCTGCTCTTCCAATTGGGGGGGGGGGGGGTGGCGGGGGGTGGGGGAAGGGGTGGTGGGTACAGGTTGGATCGCTGGTTGGAGAACTAAGATCCCACATGCTGCAATGCAGCCAAAAGATTAAAAAGTAAAATAAAGATATCCTGCCTTCAGTGTCCTTCCCCATTGCCTCTGTCTGGGGAACCATTCATTCTTCAAGGCCTAATACAAAGGTCACCTTTAGGGAACCCTTTCTGAACTTCAATTAGCAACATGCTCATCTCTGTACACTCACTTAATTCATACCTCTGATCATGCTAAAATATAACTGTTTCTTTATGGGTCTTTCCCACCTACTTGACTGGGATCCAAGTCTTCTGGATTTTATTCTCCTTTGTATCTCTTCATCCTCCTAGCCTCCTATCCCATTTCCATCAGCAGCACCCTGCTAGGTGTCTGGCCTATTCACAGTGAATGCTAGCTGAGTGAGTGAAGGAGCTTGAACACACCTAGGGCCTCATAAATCTCCATGGTTGACCTATTTGTCCTTTGATTATGTTGTAAGCTTTGAGAGGATATTGCTTACAGATCCGAAGCTGGGGCAGTTTATTTCCCAGAGCAAAGGTGAGTTTGATAATTCTACCAGGTTCAGTTATTGAGAATCCTCAGTGAGGATCCACTGAGGCTCCACTGTGATTCTGCTCCAAGAAGGTTAGAGTTAGGCAGCTCTTTGTGCACCTTCATGCTGGCAGGCTGGGAGAGGGAGAGGGTGAGGGTGTGTGCAGGGTGTAATCTGAACTGCATCTAAACTTTGAGCCTGAACTGGCAAAGCACTGGGCTGGTGGTTTGACAAACCTGGGTCAAGCGCATTTATAGCTATGTAACCTTATGCAAGTGGTTTCACCACTTTTAGTCTCAATTTCTTTAGATATAAAACAGGGGCAATCATACTACCCATTGCCATTGGAATTAAAGGGAACTACTTAAGACAGATCTAAAAGTAGTCAAGTTTCCAGGAAACTTCCTGACCCTAAGGGTCTGGGTCACTCCTGTGGTGGGGGGGTGGGGGGGATGCTTGGTGGGTTCCTGGCTCTGTGAGGTATTCCATGAATGACGGCTCCCGTGACTTCCAGCTTCAGTGTGGTACCTGCCTGGAGCAATCAGATTCAGTTCCGGGGGTAGGAGAATTGGAGGAGTCCTGGGGAGTCCATACAGAAGCCCAAGAGAGGCAAAATACCCGGAGTGCTTGCCACTTGCAGACACAAACATCCACCTTGAATCCGGAGGCCCCCTTTTTGAGGAATTTACGAATTGCCTGTTTTGGCAGCACTCAAATGGCGCCAGAGTGGGCTGTGATCAAGGCTTCCCCAGCCCATCTACAAATAGGGAATTGTGGGAGTGGATCTTGGGTCTAGAAAGGCAGATCTCTTTACAGACTCAAGGTGGAGTATGGAAAGTCTTCCTGCCCACCCACCCCCTACCCCGCCCCCGCAGTTCCCACCTAAATCTAGAGGCAAGAGCGGCCCCGCCCCTAGCCAGTCACTTTCCCCGAGGCCAGTTTGCACCATTGCAAACTGGGGGGTGGGGCTGTTGCCATTACCTCTCTCCCCTCTTCCTTCAGAGTCTTTACAAGAATGTGCGGAAACAGTGGGGGTTCAGGCGTTTGGCAATCGAGAATAACTGCAGAGGCACGTGGTGGGTAGAAATCGGGAGCGGCTCCCTTTCCTTTGTTCTTTCGTTCACGCGCTCGTGTATTCATCTACACTGATGCAGCGACTAGTGGGCCACGCACTGCGATGAGACACAGAACACGAACAAGACCAAAGCCCTCTGCAGCTGTGTCCGGCCATCCAAGAGTTAAACGGGCGGCGTGGGAGGCAGGAGGGCGCGCGGCGGGTGCCAAAGTCGGAACCTGCTCGGCGGCGGCTCCGGCGCTGCCTTGACTCGCGGCCAGGCCTGGCGCGGCCGCCGGCTGTGGAATGTGTGAGCGCCATGTGTCACCGCCCCAGACTGTGGGAAAACGCTGCTCCGCTCACCTCCCAGCAGCTGCCCCGCGCCCGCCGGCCGGCCGAGCCGGGAAACGGGAGCCGCCTGCCGCGCGGGCCCCGGGGCACTTCCGAGCGTGCCTGCCGCACCCCTCGCTCCGCTTGCCTCCGCAGCAGCCCGGTAGGGCCGTCTCCTTGCCCTTTGGATCCCGAACGATTTGATTTCTTTCCGTTTAGTTCAGTTGGCCCTGTTTAGACCCAGCAGCCTTCTAAGAGCAGGGCCTGGGGAATGAGGGCGGGACCGCTGTGGTTGAAATACCACTGGTCCGCCTGAACACCTTCCTGGTTCCTTGCCTGGCGCCCTGAGGTCACCCTCAGTGATCACAGCTCTGAGTAGGAGGCCCCGATCTACCTGCTTCCCCCAAATCAGAAACAGCTTCTCCCAGGGCCAGGCAGGGCATTTGCAGGCCGCCCCACCTCCCGCCCACTGCGGGGTCACTCTTCCATTCCCGGGCACACCCAGGACGCCAGCCTAGCGCCAGGTGTGAGTGGGAACTGTGCAGTGTTCAGACCACCCCACCCCTCACCGCCAGACCAAGGACTTAGTCCAGTCATGGAGGGAGATTTATCCAAGGTCTCCCTGCCCGATGGCAGCAGAACCACCCCTAGAATCCCAAGTCCAGTGGCCCTCTGCCACACCCCGAACATGCCCCTCCTAGGTGTCCTGACTTCTCAGCAGCGTGGGGCCCTGAGTCCCCTGCCTTAATCAGAGAAGTTGGGGGGCTTCGCTGGTGGTCCAGTGGCTAAGATTTTGAGTTCCCAGTGCAGCGGGCCCAGATTCCCTCCCTGATCAGGGAACTAGATCCCACATGCCACACCTACAGTTGGATACAGCAGCTAAAGATCCTGCCTGCCAAGGAAGATTAAAGATCCCATGTGCTACAACTAACACCAGTTCAGTTCAGTCGCTCAGTCGTGTGGGACTCTTTGCGACCCCGTGAATCGCAGCACTCCAGGCCTCCCTGTCCATCACAAACTCCCGGAGTTTACTCAAAATCATGTCCATCGAGTCAGTGATGCCAACCAGCCATCTTGTCCTCTGTCGTCCCCTTCTCCTCCTGCCCTCAGTCCCTCCCACCATCAGGGTCTTTTCCAATAAGTCAACTCTTTGCATGAGGTGGCCAAAGTATTGGAGTTTCAGCTTCAGCATCAGTCCTTCCAATGAACACCCAGGACTCATCTCCTTTAGGATGCACTGGTTGGATCTCCTTGCAGTCCAAGGGACTCTCAAGAGTCTTCTCCAACACCACAGTTCAAAAGCATCAATTCTTCAGTGCTCAGCTTTCTTCACAGTCCAACTTTCACATCCATACATGACCACTGGAAAAACCATAGCCTTGAATAGATGGACATTGGTGGCAAAGTAATGTCTCTGCTTTTTAATATGCTATCTAGGTTGATCATAACTTTCCTTCCAAGAAGTAAGCGTCTTTTAATTTCATGGCTGCAATCACCATTTGCAGTGATTTTGGAGCCCAAAAAAATACAGTCTGACACTGTTTCCACTGTTTCCCCATCTATTTCCCATGAAGTGATGGGACCAGATGCCATGATCTTAGTTTTCCGAATGTTGAGTTTTAAGCCAACTTTTTCACTGTCCTCTTTCACTTTCATCAAGAGGCTTTTTAGTTCCTCTTCACTTTCTTCCATAAGGGTGGTGTCATCTGCATATCTGAGGTTATTGATATTTCTCCTGGCAATCTTGATTCCAGCTTGTGCTTCTTCCAGCCCAGAGTTTCTCATGATGTACTCTGCATATAAGTTAAATAAGCAGGGTGACAACATACAGCCTTGACATATTCCTTTTCCTATTTGGAACCAGTCTGTTGTTCCATGTCCAGCTCTAACTGTTGCTTCCTGACCTGCGTACAGGTTTCTCAAGAGGCAGGTCAGGTGGTCAGGTATTCCCATCTCTTTCAGAATTTTCCACAGTTTATTGTGATCCACACAGTCAAAGGCTTTGGCATAGTCAATAAAAACAGAAATAGATGTTTTTCTGGAACTCTCTTGCTTTTTCGATGATCCAGCGAATGTTGGCAATTTGGTCTCTGGTTCCTCTGCCTTTTCTAAAACCAGCTTGAACATCTGGAAGTTCTCGATTCACGTATTGCTGAAGCCTGGCTTGGAGAATTTTGAGCATTACTTTACTAGCATGTGAGATGAGTTTAATTG